TTGGTTCACGCAGCTGTATGTAAAAAAAATAATATTTTTTCCATCTATAATTTATATTTATACAATATGTAGATACATAAATATTAATGGAATTAGTTAGAAATTAACGTACCGATTGCCCCATCGGGAATGGAGTTCGAGAATCATGAGTTGTTCTTCGAGAGTTATGTTCCCACGCCGGACGTCTGGCCGGAGATAGTTCAGCCATCGTAACCGGCAGCTTTTTCCGGTTCTCTTTAGACCTATATATACATAAGAGAGGACATTAATTTGGTTAATTAGTAATTACATTTGGTTTTTAACTTTTCTTTTTTAAATGCTATTAATCATGATATTAGCCAACAACGTGTGAAAAGAGATGTGGCAAAGTAAAAGGGAAGGAATAAAAAAAAGGCTTTTTTGAATATTGGTAAAGTTAAGCACTTCATCAGAGGATACCTAATATAATATAAGATTCATGAATTTATCCAAACAAATTTTTCTATATATGAAAATAGAAAAAGTATAAAGAGTTTAATTAATACCAGAACAGCGAGCAAGAGAATTCCAGCGGCCTTCACCATGATGAGCTATGTAGTTGATGAGGGTGAAATCCTCTTCAACAGTCCATGGCCCTCTTCTAAGATCACTTAAAACTTCTTCATTATCTGTTGAACTGTTTTGGCTGTTGTAAACATGGCTTGACATATCTTGGTCTTTACCTTGTTTCTCCATGTCTTTAAACACTAAATTTCCTCTCTCTTTCTCTAAGGAAAAAAAAAAAAAGTGGAAAAGAAGTGATTGATTGACACAAGAAAAGTTTATGATGGGTTGATTGAAGTAATTGAGAGATTTTTCTTTTCTTGATATTTTTGTGTGGTGGGATGTAGAGAGATGTGGTGTTTTTGTTTTGTATGTATATGTAGAGAGAGAGAGAGAAAGAGATAGATACAGACAGATTGAGTTTGTGTGGGAGGATAGAGAAAGTGTTAGGGGCTTTATATAGATGTAATAAAAAGAAGAGAGGTTTGAAAAAAGAGAGAGAGAAAAAAAAAATGGTGGAAAAGAGATGGCATGTGAGAGAGGGGAAGTGGCAACAAGGCCGCAATCGGGACTTGAGCTTTGTGTTAATTAATTCTACTTGTTGCTAATTAATTATCCTATTAATTGAGCACACACTTAAAAGCAACTTTTGAAGTTTGTTTATTTTGATAATTTCATTTTCTTTTTCTTTTTTAAATAATGAGTTGAGGTGTGCGGGGCTCTGAAGTTTGACCCTTTGACTTTTTATATCTATGTGTGTTGAAAATGGGTGGCTTTTATTTTATTTTCAAGTTAACTATTTTTATCTGGTACATTTTTTTTTTCTTTCTCATCAAGTTGCCATGGAATTTTTGACTCTGTCTTTTGTTACTTGATCGAAATGCGCTTTGAGACTTGTTCACAGAGAAAATGTTTTGGTAGTGAATGAGTTTCAAAATTTTAAATTTGGTTTGAATATGCAGATAATTTAAACTCTTATCTAGGAGTTCTTCAACTTTAGTTTGTAGATAATTTAAATTTGTATCAAGGAGTTCTTCATCAGCTTACGCCTCCAACTAGGCTGGGTACATTTTTTCAACCCACGCCTACAACCAGGTCGGGTACTTTGTTTATTTTTTATTTTTATTTTTTTTTATCACAGGTCCCAAATTAGGCCCGCTCTGATACCATGTCAAACGGGGGCAAAACGAGTGCGGTCCCACACAGGTGAAGCGCACCATAAGAGGGTTAGAGGCGACGGCTCTTCCCCAAGAAGTAAAGAGACGACTTCAACTCCTCTCAAATCAATCCAAGAATATCAACGAAGTTCAAACGACATTCAAGCCGCGTTCGTTGAGAAGTTCAACCAGCATAGCGTTTGATCGGAGAAAAAGCTATCAAACCCTCGAGTCGACGTTATTCAAGTCAAAATCCTTCTTTCAAGAAGATCAAAATCAAGTACTCCAAGAAGTCTTCTTGAACAAAGTCAAGGCCTAACATTTAACATGGAATAAGTCATTCGACCCCCAAATTAGTGTTAGAGAAATTGAATCTCAAGCATGAAGGAGATTCAATCGTCAAATCCATTTTTCAAAATCTCAAGTTCAGATCTAAGAAGAGAAGAATCAGAGGAGACATATAGAGATTGTAACCACAATATCGCTTGATCAAAATAAATCAAGTTGTACAAAAGCTTTATGTTTTCCATAAAATTTGTTACAAGTTTTTCGATGTCTACAATTATATGTACGGGTTTTATTAAATTGACTAGTAAAAAATTCACAGGTAGTTGTTGAGAAATTTATATTTAAAATTAAATAATAATAACAACAAAAATTATTTTAGTTTTCAAATATTTTTTTTTAAAATATATTATTATTTATATTTTAAATGACAACCGTCATTTAAACGACTTATCATCTTATATTATAACATTTTTTTAATTTATACAAGATAACTACTTTATTGTTAAAATTAGTTTAAATAATTTTATTTTTTCAATAATTTTGATTATAAAGATAAATAAGTTATTTATTTAGTTTGTATGTATATTTGTCCCAATATTTGTTGCTTTTTTCGTGTTTATTTTGCCTTTCTTTTCCCCCACTTTAGGTCTTTTCTTTCGTTTTTAATTTTTTTTTGTGTTTTGTTGTTCATTTTGAGTTTTTCTGTGTTTTTTTGTTCGTTTCCCAGTTTTCTCCTTTTTCCTCCTCGTTTTTGGTGTGCAGGTTGGAAGCTTCGAGAGGAAAGGATTTCGGGCTCGTTTGAAGTCGTTCGAACTCGGAATTGAGTTTTGCTTTTTTCTACTTGTCGCCAACGAATCCTTCTACTTGGTCTCCTCATAACCTAGGTGCATAGTATGAAGATTTGTCCCCTTTATGTTCCCTAAGTGGTCTCCATTGACCAAGTCTTGAGACCCAAGCCCTTAACCCTTTAAAAGACCTTTTATTCAGACCTTCCAAGCTCTTAGACACTTGAAAATTCGAACACTTAGAAAAAATTAAGAGAAGAACCAAGAAACCACTCACCTTGCTCCCTCACGCGCGTGCCACCCGGGAAGGAGGAACCACCGAGCCACGGCCATCTCCAAGCTAGTTCTCACGAGGCTTATCACTTTCTAAGTATTTATTAAGATTTTATAAGTCTTTTGGAACCCTCAATGCTCAGCAAATTCATCTAAGTCGAGCCCTTCACCTCAAAGCCGCGAGTAAACCGAGCCAAGCCCTAGAAACCACCTTTTTTAATTTTCGGTGAAGGTAAGATCAAGCCCTTGTTCCTTAGTCATCTTATGATAAAATAAGATTTATCATGAAGAGAAATGAAACCATGCATGTCATTAGCTATGAGTTTCGAATTTTAAGAAATTAAAAGCTTAAAATCGGATTTTTAGTACATTGCATGCTTAGGCCGATTTTATTAGCTAAATGTCCCTCATAAATCATGAGAAAGATGGTGTAAAAGTTTGAGCATGTTTGGAGGTCATTTGTTCGGTCAACTAGTTTGTGATTTTTTAGGTATTTTTCACCCCCGAGCCATATTAATGTGCATGCAAGTATAAGCCAACATTTTTGCCTCCCTAGTCATGATTTTTGATGTATTATACTCGGCCATACTCATTTATGCAAGATTAAGAAGTTGGTTCGGTCAACTCGTTCATGATATTATGTGAAATTTCACCTCCAAGCCACATTAGTAGACATGCAAGTTTATGCTATCATGTAAGCCTCCTTAGTCATGATTTTTTATGTATAAAACTCGACCATAGTCATTTATGCAAGTTTGAGAAGTGGTTCGATGACCCCATGCTTGTACGTGCCTTATCGGCCCTACCGAGCCCTTAGCATTTTTACCCGAGGTCCCATAGCATTTTATTTTATTTTTGTGCCTATTTTATCATGTTGAAGTGATATAAGTTTCATGTCCCTAGTAAAGTCTCCAAAAAGTCGAAAAGGGGCCGGTCATGGTCACTAGCCGCCCCCATCGCGCGTGCAGTGCCGGCCCCGTGCCTGCCCGCGCGCCCAGCAGCCCCAGGGACGCCCGGCAGCGCCCTGGCAGCC